CCTGTTAGAAGAAAACAGAGAGGGGCCCCTCAGCCGAACTTCTCATCCGCGGGAGCCAACAAGACGCAGTCTCAGAGGTGGCGGGGGGGGGGGGGGGGTTGGCTTCGAACTGAGAATGTAAAAGACACTTTCCAAACCTGTCAGGATTGGGTTTCGTTTCTAGACTTCTATTCTCAAAGGGACAATGAGGAAGAGACGCAGCTTAAGACGTTCTGAACTGAGAAATGAAAAGAAGTTACTTTCCTTTGTCTCCATAAAACTAAGTTGGGGAAAAATTAAGCCCAGGTGTTCGTTTCCCCTCTGTTACAACAGAGCACAGAAACCAGACGGCAGAACGTCATTAGGAAAGCGAGGTGTCTCTGTCTGATCTGAAGACCGCTGTCTGTCAGCTGCCTCCACGGAGTCCTGTCCTGCCTCTGAACTCCCTTCAGGTGTCATTTCATCAGAAGCTGAAACAAGACAATGAGGTGAGCAAATCAGTCAAGCTTCAGACTGGCCTCAGTCGTCAGGGGGCTTCTGTCCGAGCCAGGCTCTGGGCTCCCTTTCCCACCTCCCCAGCCGGAGAACACCTTTGTAGCCGAGGCTGAGGAGGCCCAGGCAGACCTCGGCCTTGTTGCTGTTGTATTTTTTTCGTCCCACATTGTGTCACCTTGTTGGTCACATACCGAATCTCTACTTGTGCGTAGCTCACATAATCGCACCTCCAGACTTGCGGGCCTTGGGACTGTCTATGAGGTCTGAGCATCAGCAGGACACAGGCCGAGGGTCACACCCGGTATGGCCACAGTTCATTGTTAACCTCCCTGGGCCTCGTTTGTCCTCATCCGAAGAGCAGGGAAATCATGATCACATCTATCTCCCACGATTGTGGTATTAACTAAATCAGATGATTGATATACGGTGATTAACACAATGATAACGCAGAGTGTGAACTCAAAATGCCAGTTCTTATTCTAAGTATGGAAAAGAGCCCGAGGAGAGAAGGCACTGGAAAAGAACTACCTTGGGGAATGAGGCACACAAGGAGGGAGGGTGGGGAGCAGGACTCAGAGAAGGAATGGAAGCCAGAAGGCAGATGGAAAGCCTTGTCTCGATCTCTTCCTGCTTTCCCTGTGGTTTCATTTGGAAAAGTTAGCATCGAAGATTGTATTTATTTATTTTTTTTTTAATTTTTTTTTTCAAAGTTTATTTATTTTGGGGACAGAGAGAGACAGAGCATGAACGGGCGAGGGGCAGAGAGAGAGGGAGACACAGAATCAGAAACAGGCTCCAGGCTCCGAGCCATCCGCCCAGAGCCCGACGCGGGGCTCGAACTCACAGACCGTGAGATCGTGACCTGGTTGAAGTCGGACGCTTAACCGACTGCACCACCCAGGCGCCCCGCATCTAAGATTTTAAAGTCATATATCATTCCTGCTTCTCTCTTTCTTCCCCCCCTCCCTTTTTTTTTACACTAACCATTGCTCCAGAGACAGCCGAGTTCAGAGAGGTTCACGTATTAGATTTGCGGCTCTAGTGTTCTAGAAATTAGGAAATGCAGGAGGGGTTTCTATCTTCAGCCTTCTGCTCCCAAATTAATGAATTAATGAGTGACTTCTTTTACCGTTAGGGACTGTTAGCATTTCAGACCTCTTCCTGAACCCGGTTCAGTGATTAACCTTGCTTTAAGATCTTAAAAGCGATGGGTAGTTTTCAGCACAAACAATTTGCTAATGTACTGGTCGTTAAAGAACATTAGTTCGTGTGGAAAAATTTGGACTTACTGGGTCTGTCCCCAGTTTCTCCCCTGTCTCTAGCCCCGGATGAGGTGAGAACTGGGGAAAGGACCCTGGAGCAAACAAGGTGGGAGCTCCATGATTCTAGAACCATGTCACTGGGGCAACTCCTGGTGATGGCTCATATTGGAGTATTCGGCTCATGCCTAAGGTGGGGCTAATCTGACAAGGAATCAAGGTTTGTAACACCCTCAGATGTGACATTCTTATAGGGTATGGCCAAACAGGAGTTACTTAAGTGGAGATGTCATTAGCTATACATTCATTGAGCTCCATAGTACGCCCTCCCCCTCCCACCCTGCCTTGCAAAATACTGAATCACCCTCAGCAATATTTTATGCTCTTTGGAAACTGTTAATTATTCAGATATGGGGGATTTTTTTTTGTTTTGTTTTTGTGTTTTGCTAATTCTCTACAAGTTTTTATTATCCCTTTCACTTTGAATCACAGAATTTATGGTGATAGAGCTTTTCTTTGAAATATAAGCACTATTATATATATATATTTTTTTTAATGTTTATTTTTGAGAGAGAGGGAGAGATGGAGTGTGAGCAGGGGAAGGGCAGAGAGAGAGGGAGACACAGAATCCAAAGCAGGCTCCAGGCTCTGAGCTGTTAACACAGAGCCTGATGCTGGGTCAAAAATAGCCCCAGCACTATTATAATTTTTAAAAGAAAGCAAATTTCTCAAAAACGGAATATGCAAGATTAAGTATAAGCATAATATGTTTGAAAAGTTTGAGGGGCACCTGGGTGGCTCAGTCGGTTAAGCGCCTGACTTCAGCTCAGGTCTCACGGTTCGTGTGTTTCAAGCCCCACATCAGGCTCTGTGCTGACAGCTCAGAAACTGGAGCCTGCTTCAGATTCTGTGTCTCCCTCTCTCTCTGCTCCTCCCCCACTCGTGCTCTTTCTCTCTCTCTCTCTCTCTCTCTCTCTCTCTCTCTCTCTCTGTCAAAAATAAATATCCATTTAAAAACTTTAAAAAATGAAAAAGAAAAGTTTGAGATCAGTTTTGCTGTGGTATTATGGCAAACAGAGAGGAAAGTAGTTGATTACTATTGAGAGGACATGACGGCAGCCAGGTCTGTCTCTAACCATCAGCACTAAAAGGGGCAACTGAACTCCCCAGCTAATGTCTCCCCATGCCTCAGTCTCTCCAGCTGTAAAAGGATCACTGCACAACACATCTGCCTCCCACTCAACTCATAGGAAATGTTATGAGACCTGTAAGAGAAAATCTCCACAAGATAACATTGTGAGTGCAGAAATTTGTTTCGTGCCTTCGGAATTGGTACCAAAAGTGGGGATCACCCTGACGAAGACACAAACTGAACAATACGGGGTTGGAGTTGCTAAAATAAGAGAATCCAGCAAAGGAAACCTTTTTGTTTACCTATCCACAGGGAGGCTCTATTTATGATGTGCCCCTGAATCCTGGCAGCACCATCATTTCTTTGTAGCCAAGGTGAATAATCTATTTTCTGGCTTACCTCTCACAAAGAATTTTGGAAGTAAACTCAACACCAGGAAATAATATTTCACAGACCCTTTAGTCTCCCCATTCTTTGACACTTTCTCGTGTTTTTCTTCCTTCTAATTTCTCTTCTTAGAAAGTTTTCAGCCTACCTTTCCTCACAGCCTACCTTTCCCACACATTTCTCTTGCTCCCACGGCACATTTTTCTCTCTTCTAACTGGGTTGTTTTTTGTTTTGTTTTGTTTTGTTTTTGTTTTTTACTTTCTCGCTTGTGTGTGACTGTGGTCCTCTTTCTCCTCCATTCCTACCCATGTTTCCCTCGCACTCTTATTAAACTCACTCATCTTCCTCTTTCCCTTTTCTGCCCCTGGAGAAAAAGTCCCTGATGGACAAGGGGGGAAAAATGACCAAGTAGCATTGTGTTGGGAGAACTGAGACAGCATATTGAAAGCTACCGGCCAAACACAGCTTCATTTGAGTCAATGCCACCTGACGATTCAAACAAGCCTTGATCGGCATGGAATTATAAGACTTTCCTGGAATTTCTACACATATATATTTGACATTTTACCCCAATCCCATTCCACACTCCAGATGGTGAAAGACTTTCCTTGTTTATTTGGGATGAATTCTCATTCATCATCTTTCACTCTGACAATACTATTGCTCACAACCCCTGAGGACTGCCTACTGGTACCGTCATTTTGCTACAAGTTAATGTTCATTATTGCGCATCATTGGGAAAGGTAGTGCTGTGGTTGTGTCCTGATTGAGTATTACAATGTGCGTCTCCCATGGATGACTGATATCTAAGTACCTGAAATATTCTAGACATCAAAACTAAGTTGAACTAGGTTAGACTTTCTTGGAAACTTCAAAGGCAACTTGAGGACTCACAGAACATCAGCTACCTCACAGATGTATTCCGAATGTGCAGAAGTACACAATAAGTGGAGTTTCCACTTGATACGATGTAAATTGGCTTTTGGTGTACCATAGCACAAGTCGCATGGGAAACAACTATACCATAACATGTCAAGCTCGTTATGTCTTTTCCAAATATCCCTCTTCTGTTTTGAACTGTGTTTAAATATTCAAAGGAAAGAAATCCATCACCTCCCAAGTTACAGAGCAATGTATGTGTGACAGTCCCCATTCTGTGCGGAGAAGCATCCATGCATATACACGCACGAGTACCCTAACACGCACAAGTGTGGAAGACGGGCACCAAACATTAGTAGTAGCCTCTCTGGGTGGTGGAATTACAGGTGCTTTTGCTTTCTTCTTTTGGTTTATCTGCACTTTCTGGTTTTAACGTAATGGTAATAATTAAGTATTATATTACTTCTATAATATAAATGAATAAACAAATAGTCTTCAGTTGAACAAACCAACACAACCCAGGAAAGAATTAAAAGCAACACCAAAACCCACTTCGATATCTATTAAACATGAATTAAGTACAAAAGAATGGTTGTAGAAAGAACCTTCCCTGGCTTGGGGAACAACCATCGCTGTGTATCATTGTCAAATGTGAACGTAGGGGATGCTGTAGTTCAGTAGGGGCAGCAAAGGCGAGTTCTGGGAAATATTGTTGCCTTGGGATATATACGTGGAATTTGGGTCCGTGGCTAATCATTACAGACAGGACTCCATGAGTCATAAAGGATATGACATGGGGTTATAAGAAGGAATTCTTACATTTGCGATTGAAATAATTCCTTGTCTGCATTCTGCATCTGCATTTAACCTCCTAGATAGAATAAGATGTGGGAAACCATATCTTGGTTTCAGTACTGAGTTTCCATGACTGGGGTGGGGGCTTTGGCCTGAGCCTGAAGTCTGGCTCTCAGTTGAATCTTCTCAGTTGTCCCCATGACTTCACCCCGTTGGAGTGCTCCCCACACGGAGCCTGCAGTTAGGCGTCCCCTCCCACCTGTACGTCTCACCCTGCACCCGGCCTGGCCTTTACCCTGAATGGTCTCCATGTGTGCAGAACAATTTATCTCCTCCTACTTGGTTCCATCTGAGTTCATTTTCCAACGAATCCACCTGATGTGGGGGACGGTCAGTCTGACCACACCATGCCGTTCATAAGTGTGAACAGAAAAAGGAGCCATGAATTCTAGAAGTGATATTCTTTGGGGGGAAACTCCACCAGTGATAGAATTTTATTCTAGTGATAAAAATGGTGCAGTGGGGTCACCAGGTTTCATGGGGGTGGTTTCCATTCTAGAATTCCTCTCCCCCTTGTCTCCTATTTCTGTCCACGGGCAAAAGAGGTCATGACCCGAAGGAATGAGATCTCCAGCTTCCAGAAGCCCCTGCTTTCTCCAGAGATCAGAGCAGAGGCCTCATCCTGGATCTGCCTGTCCCTGCCATCACATATTTGTCAAGTGAGTGAATTCCCAACAATAGGGTCCCTAATTGACTAAGCAGCTGGCATATGTGACATGTCTTCAGCACTTTACAGTTTCCAGATCATACACAGCCTCTCCCATGTCCCTCAAAGCGACCAGGTAAAACAGGCACTCTGCCTACAGGCTGAGAAAGATGAAACAAAGCAGACTTGCCCAAACTGACACAGCTGGTTACTGGGCACCAGGATGTGGACATGGGCCCAGGAGTTATGATTTCAAGCTAGTGCTCATTCTACCATGATGGTGGTTCCCTAGCCTGGCAGCTTGTCAGAATGCCCTGTGAAGATGGTTAACAAACCAGAGTTGGAAGGCCCCCTCTGAGCCCACTGAGGTAGGCTCTTGGGGTGAGGCCCAGCCATCCGAGTCTGATGCCTTCCCATGCCGATCAGCGCCTGATGCCACATCCCAGTCGATGATGTCAAGGCTGACAAATGATTCTCGAGGCCAGTCCTAACACTGACAGTGTTCTTCCATTAGGAAACTCCCCGCTTGTAAAGAGTTCATTTATACTTCCCAGGATCTTCCTTCTACAGAACGTTGTTGGGTTGACAGCGCAACTTCTAGAAAGCCTGAGGTTAAACACAGCTATGCCTCAGGGATAAAAGACACAACACGGGGAATATAGTCAATGGTATTGTAACAGCACTGCATGGTGACAGATGGTGGTGACACCGTGGTGAGCACAGCATAATGTACACATTCTCTTCGAATCCCTGTGTCATACACCTGAAACTAATGTGACATCGTGTGTCAACAATACTTCAATATTAATAAATAAATACATATGAAGACCAGTCTTCTAGCAAAAAAACAAAACAAAACAAAGACAAACAACAACAACAACAACAAAAAAAACCACCCAGCTATGCCATTCATCAGCCCCAAAGAGAAGAGGTCAGGAAGATCTGACAGCCATGCTTAGAGAGGCCTCAGATGGGCCGCTGAAAGGTCTGAGGGCCAGGAATACAGGCCCAGGCTCCTTCGCCTGGCTCCCAACCAGCGGGGCCCCAGCTCACTGGACACGTCTGGGGAAGACACTTGACTTGTACTGTCAAGACTCTGCAAAGTGAGGGGCGAGGACCTGCCAATTAAGTGACCACAGACTCCTGCCTGCGAGAATCACCCACGAGGAGGATGGCCCAGGGTGGGGAAGTTCCTCCTGTCAGGAAGACTGAGTCAGACTTGGGGGGGAATCGGCGGAGCCCCCAGCAGGTAGACCGCTCAACTCAGAGAGGGACCCCTGTCGCCACCACCCTCCAGCGGAGCCGGTAGGAGTTGTGTAAGAAGTCCTTCAAACTGACTTAACCTGCCATGAACCCAGCAAGTGGTCTGGTTTATAAGACCTTGGGCTGATTTATAAGAAGGGGTCACCTCCAGAGAGGAGCCTGGGCTGCATGCCTAAGTGCTGTATGCAGGTCAGCCTGGAACCCATTATTATAATGGTTGGGAGAATCAGTTAGGAGACAAGGCGAAGCAAGTCGAGATTTGAAAAACACAGTAACAGCAGTCTGACGAGATGCCAAAAGAGCCTGCCAGCAGGGACAGCTGGAAGGCCAATTTTTTAGTCAATACTGAAAGGTGGTTGCTTAAATATCTGAGTCAACACACACTGATTTCTCTCCGGCTCAATACTCCCGTTTAATTGCACTGGGGAGTCTCTCCACCGACACATCTAACACCCAAAACCATAGTGGAGTAGAAGAAAAGAGTGTTATTCAAGTGCAAATCAGGTCCTGGGTGCAGCCTGCAAGCCTGGGTCCTGCTGGAGTGTTTCCTATTGCCAGGGCAGGCAGACACTTGGGCTGGGCCTCACAGAGATTCAGGGAGGCCCCCCCCCACTTTGAAAGAGGGCCAAGGGAAGGGGTGAGCATCACATCTCAGCCGGCCCTCGGAGAGGGGTCTGTGTGGTCTGCTCCCCGCCTCTGCAGCTCTGTGCACAGAGGGGGAGAGGGAGGCAGGGAAGCGCCTGCTTCCCACATCTGGGAGCCAAGTCAGATGGGAACGGATGCCCCTGGAAAGCGATCAGAAGTGTGGCAACCAGGTGACGACCTGGTGAGGTTGATGGCGGACGTGATGGATGAGGTGAGTCTTCAACGGCCTTCCAACTGCCTAGGGGTCGGGAGGGAGGCAGAACCCTGAGGTACCAAGAGCCAACAGCCTAATCTTCAGGGTCCTGACAGGTTTTGGCTGCTAATAGAAGCACTTTCCCGTAGTGACGCCCACGTAGGGGCCAACCGGAATGGCCCCGAGGCTGGAGGTGAGAGTGGGGGCTCCTGCAGTGACCTCCTGGCACCCTCAGTGCTAAGCGTGACATTATCACATGTAGCCCCAAACCCACCAGAACTGAGACCTAAATCACAATGACAAGGCAGGCCCTGGGAGCAGGTGACGTGAATCCTTCAAGGGGAAACTCTACGTCCGCTGTCCACCATCAGAGATGAGGAAGAAGCCTGTGTGTCGTGCTAAACTCAAACTCCGATTCCCTGAGGAAGTTGTGCAAATCAATTTCTGATCTGGTAGGTGTGAGTCTGGATGGCCAGAGTGAGGACCGGCGGCTCAGCTGCCCTCTGTCCTCATTTCCAAGCCTCTGGCTCATACCACACGTGTTATCATTCACCCACACTGTGTGAGCTGGTCCTCACTCATACGCCTGCTGATCACACTCAGAAACAACCAAAACGCTGCTCAGTCGGGGCCCAGAGGATCTGAGAGAAACATGGCGGGGCACCGTGAAGTCTGGAGGTCCCCAGGCCTACCACCTGGGGAAACCGAAATCGTTTGGGTCCATTGCTCACGTGAATACAGGCTGCTGAGACAAACAAGCCTAAGGATCAAGTCCTACTTCTTCCAATTACTAGCTGTGGGACCTCATCGAAATTACATCACCTTTATGAACTTCAACTTTCTTACCTCTGTTACGGGAACAGTCACAGGACTCTTGTGTCAAATGAGATAAAGTGGGTAAAATGCCCAGGACGAACTTGTTGCCCAACAAATGCCAGTTCTCTACCCATCCAGTTTTCACCCCCAAACTGGAGTGACCTCAGTTTCTCCTTCTTTAGTTGTTGCTATTGGTGTATGTCCAGGAAAGAAGCAGTTGGAGGAGACACCGAATCGGGCCCAGCTGAGAAACTTCTGTCTCATGTTAAGCAAGAAGCCCAGCCCCCACCAAGACCTGTTCATCTCTCCTGCGGAGGGATCCCCATGTAGCGCAAGTTTGAACAATGAATTTGTTCCCCTTCCTAGAGCACGAAGGGTTCTTAGACTTCCCATTCCGAGCTGTTTATGGAGCAGTCACTTAGGAACTCAAGTGGTAGAGACCTTCGCCCATGGAACATTTCCATGGAGCTCCCATCGCTCCCTGCCTTGCCCCTTACTTACACTCACACTTTCTGTGTGTGGATAGGAAAGCTCAAAACCACACTGGCCAGGGCTTCGGCTTACCTCTCATCCCCTACTGCCCCCTTCCTCTTCTACTCCTCTTTAGACACACTGGCCGCCTTCTTCTTCTTCTTCTTCTTCTTCTTCTTCTTCTTCTTCTTCTTCTTCTTCTT